ATGGACATTGCTGGATCAGGATGGGGCTCAGGCAAGTGTTAGGGGGACTGGGAAGGCTGCTACACACAGAAGGTTTTTTTACCTTGCATGAAGGTAAAAAACCTTGCGCCTTTAGAACTGCTTTAAGTGTTGCTTTCTGTCTGTAGTTGCATAAATTGTGCTTTTCCCTGACCAACAACCAATACTTTACTTCTTTTTGTTGTCCATTTAGCAGTGTTTTCATCCAAGATTTGCACAATTTTTATTCAAGATTCATACATTCAGTTTTAAAAAAAAAAAAGTGTGAATCTTGGATGAAAAATTAAAAAAAATAGATCACTTTGCATGTCCTATTACTAATTATTATTTCTATATGACACTTGTTTTTCTCTTGTGCATAGGCAAACTCAACTGTATTCAAAGAATACCATTTTTAACTTGTATTTTTACATACATATGTGTGCATGTCTGTAAAATTGATAAGTATTCCACATTATGGGCTTTATTTAGTAGCCCTGCATATACCATTTTTGGTATACACTTTTGGTGTTAATGGCGTACGTGCTGTAATGCATGTTACTTTAAGCAGCCCATTCAAAATACTTGTGTGGTGCTGCGTTGTATTTCAGCACACGTACGTTAGGGTGTCATATACAGTAAACAGCACTGCAGTGCACAACACACATTACCTCAATGCAAGTGGTGTGGATGGACCCTGATAGTGTTTAGTAAAGGAGGCCTTGAAATATTAAATGATTTGTAATTTACTGACTCCTTGCTATAATGCATGCATCCTTTTTATTACTTTAGCAATTGCAAGCATAGGATTTGATGATTACCATAAAAGCAGGCAGTGAATATTTGTAAGTGTCCTGCTTCCTCAGTGTGATCATTTTTCACCTATCATGCATCCTGAGAGAAAGACCTGCACCCTATTAGTCATGCTTCATATCACATTGCTGTAAGATGTAGCCTTGTTGCGCTCATTGTAGCAAAACATAGTTCTACTAGATACATTTAGAGTACCCCTGTGTCAACTGTAGCACTTTCAGTAAACCTTGCAAGCATCCTTAGGCGCAGATTTACAGTAAATTGTCATAGAATACAAATCAGTTTCTATGTCATCATGCAGCAGTTGCATAACAAAACAAGCTTGATAGGAAAGTGTCACTACAAATATGTACACGAGATTGGAAAACTGACTTTTCTGATTTGCTATGCTTTTTCTGTGAGATGCCAGCACAGCCATTTGCTACTACAGGGAGCTCAACCAGCATCTATTGCCTAAATGTGCTTGAAATGATCCCTCATATCTGTCTAGCGCTTAGGTGCATAACTTGAAAAAGTCTCTTGGACCTGTAGATTTCAGCTACTTCAAATCCTTCAGTACTGGCTGTTTATGTACTGTATGTTGGTTGATGGGTTGTGCGTACATGTCCACAAGCTTTCTGATACCCTTCTGCTTTTTTATCAGAGGACCTCTGTACACTGGAAAGACCCATTCATGTTCCATCCCATTGTTTTTGTTTTAAGGCACAGTGCTTATCTACAGTGAAGGAAATAAGTATTTGATCCCCTGCTGATTTTGAATGTTTTCCCTCTCACAAAGAAATGATCAGTCTAAAAATCGAATGCTAGGTGTATTGTAACACTGAGAGACAGAATAGCAACACAAAATTCAAAAGAAATGCATGTCTAACAAATTATGCACTGATTTGCATGTTCATGAGGAACATAAGTATTTGATCCCCTATCATTCAGCAGGATTTCTGGCTACCAGGTGTCTTTCATACAGGTAATAAGCTGAGATTAGAAGCAGTCTCTTAAAGAGAGTGATGCTAATCGCATTGTGTTACCTGTATAAAAGACACCTGTCCATAGGAGCAATCAAACAATCAGATTCCAAACTCCCCACCATGGCAAAGACCAAATAGCTGTCCAAGGATGTCAGGGACAAGATTGTAGACCTACACAAGGCTGGACTGGGCTACCTAAATATTGTCAAGCAGCTTGGTGAGAAGGTGACAACAACAGTTGCTGCAATCATTCGCAAATGGAAGAAACCCAAAACAACTGTCAGTCTCCCTAGGTCTGGTGCACCATGAAAATTTCACCTCGTGGAGTGGCAATGATCATGAGAACAGTGAGGAATCATCCCAGAACTACACGTGAGAATCTTGTCAATGATCTCCAGGCAGCTGGGACCACAGTCACCAAGAAAACAATTGGTAACACACTACGCCGACAAGGATTGAAATCCTGCAGTGCCTGCAAGGTCTTCCTCTGCTCAAGAAAGCACATGTCCAGGCCCGTCTGAAGTTTGTCACTGAACATCTGATTGATGCAGAGGAGGACTGGTTGAAAGTGTTGTGCTCAGATGAGACCAAAATCAAGCTCTTTGGCCTCAACTCGCCATGTTTGGAGGAGGAGGAATGCTGCCTATGACCCCAAGAACACCATCCCAACTGTCAAACATGGTGGTGGAAACATTCTGCTTTGGGGGAGTTTTTCTGCTAAGGGGACAGGACAACTGCACCGCATCAAAGGAACGATGGATGGGGCAATGTACTGTCAAATCCTGAGTGAGAACCTTCTTCCCTCAGCCAGGGCATTGAAAATGTGTCGTGGATGGGTGTTCCAGCATGACAATGACCCAAAACACACGGCCAAGGCAACAAAAGAGTGGCTCAAGAAGAAGCAGCACATTAAGGTCCTGGAGTGGCCTAGCCAGTCTCCAGACCTTAATCCGATTGAAAATCTGTGGAGGAAGCTGAAAGTTCGAGTTGCCAAATGTCAGCCACCAAATCTTAATGACTTGGAGAGGATCTGCCAAGAGGAGTGGGCCAAAATCCCAAATGAGATGTGTGCAAACCTGGTGGCCAACTACAAGAAACGTCTGACCTCTGTGATTGCCAACAAGGGATTTGCCACCAAGTACTAAGTCATGTGAAGGGGATTAAATACTTATTTCCCTCATGAACATGCAAATCACTGCATAATTTGCATCACATGCATTTCTTTTGAATTTTTTGTTGCTATTCTGTCTCTGTGTTACAATACACCTACCATTCGATTTTTAGCCTGATCATTTCTTTGTGAGTGGGCAAACAGTTAAAATCAGCAGGGATCAAATACTTATTTCCTTCATTGTATGCTTGTGATGTGGTGAATTTTTAAGACATTTCACTTGCAAGCATATCTTCCATATGAGTCTGTGGTACAGTATGATAAACACATGTAATGTGCAATACCTGCATCATACATGCTTTTTTAATACATAGAACTACGATCAAAATGCTCTCAAAATTGGAAATGCATGTAGAAAACACATGTGTTTAACCTATAAAAAGCCAAGACAAATCAGTGCATATATGATAAAAGAAATGTAGAAGTAGTGGAAACTGCACATAAAAACGATCCATAGATTTAGGCAGGTAAGGTTATATGCAAATCTTAACTTTCCCTGCAAATATTGTTTGGCCTTTCCCTACCTACCATGCTATTGGGTGTCCATTATGGTAAAAAAGATCATTAGGGAGATGTGGGAGGGGAAAAGGAAAGATCTTCGTATACTTTCAGTTGCTCATAAATCTGTCTTCTGTTTTTTGGGTTTTTTTTTTCTTCTGGAATAAAATGTTTTAGGTTTTAAGATTTAAAAAAAATCATAGGTGAAATGGAGATGGGTGGGTAGGTATCCCGGAGGTCAGCTTCAAAGGAATCTTAACATGTTGCTTGATTTGGTAATATTGTTTGCAGAATTAATAAAACCGTCCTGTCACATCCAGACATGGCCAGTTAGATTATCAGATAAGACAGAGCTGGTTTTTCTTCTAGTTAATGTTCTCCTACTTAAAGTGGTAGTAAAGTCCTGAAATCTAAAATCTGTGGACATTCAGGATATTTAAAACAGAAGAGAACCTAAAGGTCTCTACTGTCATAAATGTCTCCCCTGCCTGTCAGCGACTAATGTGATCTGAGCCACAAATGCGCAGCTCATGCCTAGTGTGGTCAGTTTTTAACAAGAAAAGAGTGGGACTGACAGGAACAAAGGAAGCAATACAAAGAGGACAGAATACTTTTTCATATAAGTACATGGTACAGCAGGCACATATCAGGAATAGGAAATGTTGGGTATACATATTCTTTAACCGCTTCCGCACCACCCTATAGCAGAAATACTGCTACACGGCAGCACAGGGTCGCAAAAATCATGTGTGTGTATATATACATGATTTTGCAGTTCTGGGCAGGGGGTGTGTGCCCTGCCCGCAGCCGCCATTCACAGCCTCGGCTGTCAATCACCGGGTCCCAGCTGGAGATTCCCCGCCGGCGCCCAGCAATCTAGGATTTCCGACGGGGAAAGACCTGTATGTAAAAAAATCAGCTCCTGCACACTGCTTTGTATGGCTCTGCATAGCAGTGTGCTTACAATGAAGCACACACAGCCCACATAATAAAACCGCACACAGTTAACCCTTTGATCGTCCCTCATGTTAACCCTTTCCTGCCCAGTGCCATTAGTACAATGTCTTTTTATTAGCACTGATCGCTGTATTGGTGTCACTGGGGATGTCAGTGACACAAAGTCAGTCTCCCCCCCAGTGTCAGAATACCGGTCGCAGTCCCGCTATAAGTCGCTGATCGCCGCCATTACTAGTAAAAAAAAAAGTTAAATTCCAGTATCTATACCACTATTTGTAAACGCTATAACTTTCACATACACCAATTAATTTACACGTATTGGGATATTTTTTCTAGTAAAGACATGTCGCAGAATACATTTTGGCCTAAATTTTTGCTGAAAATTGATTTTTTTTTTTTTAATTTTTACTGGACATGTTTAACCGCCTTCCGCCCGCCATATAGTACAATGACGGGCGCAAGGCGGTTCTCTCGTTCTGGGAGGACGTCATATGACGTCCTCCCATTTTAACCGCACATGCGCGGCTCTGGGAGCACGCAGCGCGGTGATCAGCAGTACGCTGTGTCCCTCGGACACAGCGGATCACCGATCAACGGAAAGGGCCGAAGATGTCGGCTCGGTCATGTGATCAGCTGTGTCCAATCACAGCTGATCACATGTAAACAGGGAAATGCCAGTTATTGGCATTTCTCTCCTCCTCACAAGCTGTCATGCTGACAGCTCGAGAGGAGAGCTGGTAATCGGCATTCCTCGGAGGAGACATGTACACAGATCATCAGAGCACTGATGATCATTGTGCCCTGATGATCTGTGTAGCCTCAGCAGTGCCACCTGTCAGTCTCCATCAGTGCCAGCTCTCAGTGCTCATCCATGTCATCTGCCAGTGCCCATCAGTGCCACATTTCAGTGCCTACCAGTGAACATCAATGCCACATATCAGTGCCCATCTGAGCTGCCTTTCAGTGTTACCCATCAGTGCTAGTCAGTGCCACCTATCAATGCCAAGTAGTGCCGCCTAACAGTGCCAGTCAGTGCCGCCTAACAGTGCCATATAAGTGCTGTCTTTCGGTGCCCATAAGTGATGCCTGTCAGTGCCCATTAGTGCCACCTACCAGTGCCTCCTCATCAGTGGAAATTGGCCTGGGCAGGAAGGGGGTATAAGTGCCCTGTAGGCATGTGGTTAATAGCAAAAAGTCAAATTTATTTATTTTTTCCTCATAATTGTCGGTCATTTTTTTTGTTTATAGTACAAAAAATAAAAAAATGCACAGTCGATCAAATACCACCAAAAGAAAGCTATATGTGTTGGAGAAAATGTACGTAAATTTCATTTGGGTGCAACATTTCATGACTGCGCAATTGTCAGTTAAATAACGCAGCGCCATATTGCGAAAAATGGCCTTTTTTTGGTAGCCCTTTAATAGACCCATAGCCTGGTTGCATGTTGCTACTCTGCAGTTTGGCTGCAGTGTGGGTCTATCTGCAGTTTTTGCATGTTTTAGTTGAATCCAGAACATTGTGGAAAGAGATGGCTGGCAGACAGGCAGCCCTCACTGCCATTTAAATGAACCCTGGTATTTAGTGATGAATACAATAAAAGGAGAGGGGGAGACGCCAGTAAGTGCAGTATTAGTAAAAGTGTTTTATTAGTACCAGATTATAAACACTGACAAGATGTGTGGGTATACAGGCTCTGAAATATATAGGTTCACCACTCACTCCAAAGTCCTGCAGTGTCGTCCTCCACTATCCAAGCTTGGAGATGTAACTGATGGGGCCCAGGACGCTCTGTGTACATCAGGAAGTGCACCGAAACAGCGTGAAACACACGGCAGAAGTGACGTCACCGGTAGGAAGAGCGGATCGGAACCGGAGATGGGCTACGACAGCTTCAACTCCTTCTACAGGCCTCTGGATCACTTCCTGATGTACACAGGGAGTGAGCGATGAACATATATTGAAGTGCCTGTATACCCACACATCTTGTGTTTGTTTTTAATTTGGTACGAATAAAAAGCTTTTACTAATACTGCACTTAGCTGGCGCCTCCCCTTCTCTTCTTTTATCCTATTCATACAGAGCTGGCCAAACTGTGCGGATGGCTGCCACTGTTGCCAACTAGGTCTATATGGACTTGTTTAATTTTAAGTAAATTTGAAGGGTGTTCTTGCTTGATTAATACGAAAACTGGCTATAGGTATTGGTCCTGTTTGTGCGCCAGAATTCTAGTGTATATATTTTATTATTGATAAATACAAGACTTCCTTTGACTGAGGTGGATAGGTGGGTGAATGACATTACGAATTTCACCGTGGCTAATGCTGCTACTTTTATATTAGAGCACGCAGAAAGGCCGCATCTTTTTGTAGTGGACATATTTTGTTGGACCAGCATGGTTACTTTAAATGGTAACTATATTTTTCAGCATAACACAGAACACAAGCCTAATTGAGTCTTCGGTTTAATTGGTTAAATACAATACAGTTGCTTTAACCCTTTTGCTGCCAGGCTGCAGCCACCGGGATTGTGACAAACTGACAAGCAGTGAAAACTGTGTTGTGATTGTGAAAACTGACAAGCAGTCTCCTACATGTCAGGTGGAAGAAGTCGGGCGGCTGTGCCGCAGCTCGCTTGTTTCCACAGCTCCCAGTAAAAGTGCCCCCCATGTGTGTGTGCTCCCGCTATGTAATTCGGGCACTGCTTACCCATATGTGGGCCTAAACAAATCACATAGGGGACTTTGTCTCCTGTTTGATGAAAAAAAAATATACATATCTGCATCTACGAATGTAAACGCACTAAAAGGGTTAAAACAAAATGTGTTTAATGTTTTTGTTTTTTCTAAAGCAGTCGGGTCCTGAGTAAAAAAGCCTGTCCACTGCTAACAGCTGCAGAGGGAATTCTTGATCTCTGTTATGAAGCAGTGGTCTTCTTGCAGAGGTCCAATACACCTCCTGCAGAGTCAGTTATAGCTCTGTATACGGCATAAATCATGCACCCTACTGATTGAAGAGATCTGACTCAGCAGGGGTCCTGTCAGACCTCCACATCATCCATAGAAGTCAAGAGTCCATCTCTGGCATGGTGGCAGAGGACAGGCCATTCTTCTCTTTCTATGGCTGATGTTTATGGAAAACAAATTCTAATGGCTTTCTAAACAAAGGGCCAGTTTACTGACCTTCAGACTTTAGGGGGGCCGGACTGTGCCCAGTGGGAATAAACAATCCCCCATCTTTGGTGTTGGGGGAGAAATAGCTGTCAGTGGGAGGAATAGTACCCCATTGTTAGTGTCAGTGGAAGGAATAGTGTACCATGGTTAGTGACAGTGGCAGGAATAATGCCTCAAGGGCCAGGTGAAGGCAAGCAAAGGGCCGTAGTTTGGAGATCACTGGTCTAGGGGACTTGGAAAATCCGTTTCTGCTTACTTGATCCTTTGCTCCAGCAGATTCCTCCTAGCTGCTAGACCAGTGCCTGCAACCTCTTTTCCCTACACTCTGGTGGTCTGTGGTCCCTGATGCCATCAAGACCGATGCATGGACCATAGCCCTGCAATGGACATGAGGACATTGAGGAGAATAGGGCAGCAAAGAATTGGGGAAGTATTCTATTCCCTAGACAAACAAGCAGTTAACCCTTGCAGTGTGGGTACAACCCCATTGCAAGGGAGGACTTTTTTTTTCCAGAGTTTGGCTGTAAAATAAAAGTTCAGGTTTTTTTTTTTTTTTTTTTTTTTTTCATTTAAAAATGTTCAGTTGGGTTTTTATTTGCCACCCCCCCTCCACCACCACCCCAGCTGCATACTCACGAGGATTTTGCAGCTGCTACAGTGTTTACATCCTGCAGGCCCAAATTTTCTTCCTTTTTGTCTGCATCTGTCTGCAGTTGATTCCTGAAGACTACTATAGGGCAGCCTCCTAGGAAATGCCCCTATAAAAAGTCTATAGCGATCGATAGCAGACAGCAGAATGAAAAGGCAGACCAGTAGGGTGTAAACGTTAGCACTGCAAGAATTCAGTATGTAGATAAAAAGTATGCACAGGAATGAGGGACGGGTTGGTAAATTTGCAGTCATGAATGGGAGTTGGGTGGCACACAGGGTAAGTATACTGTGATAGCACACTTACTCTTTAGTTTACACACGTGATCTATCCAGGTTATTATACAACAGCCTTACTTTGACATCATGCAGGTGTTCCTGTTAAAGCATGTGTTTTGTTTGGGTCTGTTCTACTTCCTGGTTTGTGTTCTTCCGTGGCACATGTTGTTGCCATATATCTGTTATGGGAGGGGCAATCAAGTCTGACTGCTTCAACCTGTCATTGTGGCACATGGGTGTATCGTAAAGAAAAACCTGTTTCTCTTTGGATTGCATAAGCAGAGATATGACATTGTTTATCTACATGCAGCTCCCATGAAGGGTTTACATTATAACACCATTACAACATTGTACTAGAACAAGGCCATGCACTCACCAGCCACTTTATTAGGTACACCTTGCTAGTACTGGGTTGGACCTCCTTTTCCTTTCATAACTGTCTTAATTCTTTGTGACATAGATTCAGTAAGGCATTGGAAACATTCCTGAGAGATTTTGGTCCATACAGACATGATGGCATCATGCAGTTGCTGCAGATTTATCGGCTGCACATCCATGATGTGAATCTCCTGGCCCACCACATCCCAAAGGTGCTCTATTGGATTGAGATCTGGTGACTGTGGCGATCATTGGAGTACAGTGAACTCATTGTCCAGTTTGAGATGATTTGAGCTTTGTGACATGGTGCATTATCCTGCTGGAAGTAGCAACCAGAAGATGGGTACACTGTAGTCAGAAAGGGCTGGACATGATCAGCAACAATACTCAGGTAGGCCATTGCATTTAACCACTTTACAACTGTGCTATAGCCGAATGGCAGCTACAGCACGGTTGTCCAGTCCTAGGAGGGCGTCATATGACTTCCTCCCAGAATGCGCCCCGGGCGATGCACACCGGGCCCTGTTAGTGATCACTGTGTCCCACGGACACAGCTGATCACATGACATGGAAAAAGGCCAATCAAAGCAGCCTTTTACCACGTGATCATCTGTGTCCAATGATACAGCATATCACAAAGTAAATACTGTTGCTGGTTATTCGTTAGCACTTTCCTCACACTGTGACAGTGTAAGGAAAGTACTGCCGATAAGCCGCAAGTGTCACAGAGCACACCCACACTGATAATCAGGTTACTGATAATCAGTGCCCATCAGTGTCACCCACCAGTGCCCATCAGTGCCACCCAGCAGTTGCACCTATCAGTGTCCATCATTGCTGCATATCAGTGCAGCATCATCAGTGCCTCCTCATCAATGCCCTCTAGTGTCGCCTCATCAGTGCAGGCTATCGGTGTCCATCAGTGCTTCCTATCTGTGCTACCTATCGGTGCAGCCTCATCAACACACATCAGTGAAGGAGAAAAATTACCTGCTTGCTAAATTTTATAATCGAAACAAAGAAAAACTGTAATTTTTTCACATTTTTGTTCTTTTTTTTGTTTGTTTATAGTGCAAAAAATAAAACCCCCCATGGCAATTAAATACCATCAAAAGAAATCTATATTTGTATGAAAAAAATTATGAAAATTTCATATGTGTACAATGTTGCATGACCGTGCAATTGTCATACAAATTGTCATACAAAATTGGTCTGGGTGTGAAGGGGGTAAAAGTGCCTGGTGGAAAAGTGGTTAAACGATGCTCAACTGGTAATAAGGGGCCCAAAGTGTTCCAAGAAAATATCCCCCACACCATTACACCACCACCACCAGCCTGAACCGTTTGATACAAGGCAGGATGGATCCATGCTTTCATGTTGTTTAAAGTGCTACTAAACCCACAACAGTAAAATCGGTGTGTATATGCAGTAAAGCATGTTTGTTATACTCACTGTGGAACCTAAGGGGTTAATCCTCTGCATTGTGTAAAAAGGCTGTTTGATCCTGACTTCTCTGATTCTCCCCTTCTTCCAGTGTCCTCCAGTGTGCTCAGTTTGGTGTGTATTGCTAGAGGTTTTTTTTTTTTTTTCTAGGGAGAGTGCATGTGATGAGCACTGTCCAGACAGAGGTCAGGGGTTCTGCATCCTGCTTGAACAAAATAAAAACTCCTACAAGCTTTAACTAGTGCTCTGCTGAACACTGTTAGAAGTCACAAGACTGCTCTAACTGCTGATGAGAAAAGGTATTTTCAGTTTATATTTAGTCAAATAATTACATTTCCATGTTCTGTGTACTTTGGGGGACCAGATAGAGTGAATGCAGGGCCCAGGGATTAGTAACACTTTAATTCTGACCCTACCATCTGAATGTTGCAGCTGAAATTGAGACTCCTCAGACCAGGCAACGTTTTTGCCGAGCCTGTGCAAAGTGTAGCCTTTGTTTTTTGTTCTCAGCTGACAGGAGTGGCACCCGGAGTGGTCTTCTGCTGCTGTAGCCCATCTGCTTCAAGGTTCAACATGTTGTGCGCTCAGAGATGGTACTCTGCATACCTTAGTTGTAATGAGTGGTTATTTGAGTTACTGTTGTCATTCTGTCATCTCAAACCAGTCTGCCCATTCTCCTCTGACCTTAAAAAGGCATTTTGGTCCACACAACTGCCGTTCACTGGGATATTTTCTCTTTTTTGGAACATTCTCTTTAAACCCTAGAGATGATTGTGTGTGAAAACCCCAGTAGATCAGCAGTTTTTGAACTACTCAGACCAGCCCATCTGGCGTTGGCAACCATGCCACGTTCAAAGTCACTTAACCACTTATCTACTGGGCACTTTTACCCCCTTTGTGCCCAAGCCAATTTTCAGCTTTCAGCGCTGTGAATGACAATTGTGCGGTCATGTAACATTGTACGCATATGAAATTTGTATCATTTTTTTTTTTCACATGCATAGAGCTTTCTTTTTGTGGTATTTAATCGCCACTAAATTTTTTATTTTTTTTTTTGATTATAAACAAAAAATAGCAAAAAAGTTTGAAAAAGAAACCATTTTTCTTTTTTTTTTCTGTTATAAAATTTTGCAAACAGGTAATTTTTCTCCACTGATGTGCGTTGATGAGGCTGAACTGATAGGCAGCACTGATGGGCATTGATGAGGTGGCACGGATAGGCAGCACTGATGGGCACTGATAGGCTGCACTGATGAGGCGGCACTGGTGGGCATTAATGAGCAGGCACTGATTATGCTGCACTGATATGCAACAATGATGGTCACTGACGGGCATAACTGCTGGACAGCACTGATGGGAGGCCCTGCTGGGCACTGCTGGGTGGCACTGCAGGGCACTGATCACCAGTAGGTGATCAGTGCTGATCTGCTCTGTGACAGCTGCCAGTTATCGGCAGTACCTTCCTCATGCTGTGACAGGGATGGTTCACGAAATGCTTGTTCACACCAGGTCAGGGGTGGACTGACCATTTGGAAACTCAGGCACTGCCCGAGGGCCCAGGGTCAGTAGGGGGCCCCATGAGATGGACCTGGAACCTTTTTCATAGGCTTTTGTTGAGTTTGGGCAAGGACACAGGGGCCCCATGATCCCCTATTGCCTGGGGGTTCCATGAGTTGTCAGTCCGCCCCTGCACCAGATATGTTCATGCCAGTTCTCTCCACCATGCCTTGGTGGTGTTTTCTGAAAAAAGTATAGCATGCAGGACTTTTTTCAGTACAGCACAATCCACCGCATCGCCCCATGCTGCGACCAGTAGAATGTAACGAAGTGTCACAAAAAATATATATAATATATAAAAAAAAATAAGTAAACCGTGCAATGGAGCAGGATCAGTTCATTGGCATTGTTCCTCAGAGTGCATTCCCAGCAGCCATGTGTTCAGTGTGGCTTCTAGTGTGAACGGGTCCTAAAGGAGTGGAAGCCATTTACTTTGCTCAACTAACAGCCTCTACTCCTTTAGTAAATCCACCTTAGTCCCTTGGGTACCATTAAAGTCCATTAAAGGCAAGAGTACTAACCACCTAGCCTGATTTGTGAGGTATGTCTCAAAGCATGAGAGGTATTGTACATCAGATAACAAAGAAATCTGTAGCACATGTTAGGATAAAAAATCAGACCTTTACTGTAATGTGGTGAGTATTTTCAGAAGCTCTGTCAAGAAGCAACTCTTATCTTTACATGGCAATTCTGTGGTGTGTATATATATATTTTTGTGGCTATAAACAAAGTGTATCAGTATCCAACAGTATAGGGCTTAAACAACTAATCAATATAATCGATTATGACTGATTATGAAAATAGTTGTCGACTATTTTCATAATGGGTTAGTTGGTCAGCCGATTAGTTGACATACATAGAGAATACAATATTTGTTTACATATCAGAAAATACAGTGTAGCACACAGCTCAGTACACTGTTCATACATGCCAGTATACACAATGCAGCACACATACAACTCAGTACAGGACTCTCAGGGAAGATCAGCATCTGAACCCAGAGAAGCTGATAGACTGGAGGTAATATAAGGCATTACAATTAGGTTCCATGCACACTGGGTGTTTTTAATAAAGCTGGTAACATTAGCTGTGTAAAGTCACGTTAAAAAGTTGAGTTTTTCAGCGTTTTTTTAATAGTTTTTATATTTAGTGTTTTTTAGCGTTTGTAATTTTTTTCATCTAATAAAACCGCTAAAAAACACAAACGCTAGTTTACCGCGATTACCTGCGTTTGTTTTTACAGCTAAAAAAATCCCCTAGAAACCCACTAGTTTTGGGCATTTTTTTTCCAGCCAAAAAATGCCCCTGCCAAAAAACGTTGATTACAGTCTGTGTGCATGGACACATAGGATAACATGCTGGGGAGTTTACTGGCTGTAGAAAAAAACCATCAAAAGCCAAAAACAGCAGCTGTAAAAATGTCCAGTGTGCATGAGGACTTAAAGTTTTCTATTCTGCCCCTTCAGATTTTCCCGTCACTGCGATCGAAAACAAATGTTGATTTGACCTCACTAACATTTAGAAAATCGAGCCAACGTTCTTAAAACAAAACTTTTCAAACCAAAAATTTGTGTATGGGCAGCATAAGTAACAGTAGGCGCAGGTAGCTTGTATCAAGTTACTTGCCTATGCCAATGGAGTCAGCCATGCTTAATATAATATAATTCTGTCTGAAAATCTGAAAAACTGTTTTAGGTCTTTTGAAAATGTTTCTTTCCTTTTTTATATAAAAATTTTGATCTGAGTCTGATATGTACCAGATTCAACTTGTAATAGTATATATATCTCTTCTGTTTGTTCTCAGAATGGATTGGATATTTTTTCCCTAACCATTCAGCTGGTTCCAGAGCAAAATACAGTTTACCCTTTACCTTTTTTCTTTAGCTCTATCCTATCAGTAATCATACATTTAATGATCTGAAAAAATAGTAGTTGATGGCCTTTGAAAACTGTAATTATACTTAGGGTTGCCATCTACTATGTGTGTGGAAGAGTAGGAGTTTTGACTGTAATGAAATCTTGCACATTAATGTCTGTCAGGAATGTTGTATTGGTTGTCAAAAGCTGTTTTGTCCTTAGTCTGCAAATAAGAGATTACTTGTAATAGGCTGTTATTTAGTATTAATGTGGAACTAGTTGCACTTCTGAGGTGTGGTATTATACAGGATTCTTGGAGACTTTATGATCAAAATAAAACTGAGCTGTACACTTGACTCTAGATAATGACTACCAGTTCTTTCATCCTGCTCCTCTAAATTGCACAATCTGGATCCTGCATACATCTCAGCCCTGCTTGTGTCATGCTATTCTTTGCTGCTTCACTTCCACACTTTATAGTTATAAATAGACAATTTTTGTTTCAAAGGATCAAAATATGAGTGGTTTTAAAGTGATATCAAAGCCAAAATGTATCTTTGCTTTTCTACCACTGATATCAGAACTTACATCCTATTTCAATATTCTAAGGTATTGCTTTCCTGCTGCTGGACCCCTCAGCGATGGCCCTGCTTTTTGGTGTTAGGGTGACTCCTTTTGCTTGCAGGGTCCTATGGAGCCTTGTTGGAGCCGCCCTTTTGATATGTCCCCCTGGCATTGAACTAAAGGGCAATGTTGGTATGCTATGTGTCCAACAAACACAGGCAGACTGAGAGGACTGTAAACTCCAAAGACATGCTCCTCCTCCAAAGGAAAATAATGGACAACCCCTCTCGAAGGCAGTGCTGTCCCTTTGTACTGTCCTGTGGTATTCTCTTGGCTGTCAGTACATGTTGGTGCAAGCAGCATCCTTACATGAGCAAAATTTTGGCAAGGAGTGGTTGTTCATGCTCACTCGTGGTACATATGATGGGACATGTAGTGCTGAGGAGTCTAATAAAGTGAGTAGTACTGATGTTAGGTGTGTGCGCATCCCGACAGGAAGTTCGGAGAAGCTAGGCGCAGAAAGCCATAAATTACAGGGGTGCAATTAGGAAAATGTAAGTATTTTAAAATGTAGAATCATTTTACGAATAAGAAAAAGGTTAGCAGCTTCTGCATTATGTCTTCTTGATGTAATTCTAGGAAGATTATTACTGCTTTCAATATATACAGAGTAGAAAAAAAAAAATAGTTTTGTCTTGTGTGTATTTATGTATTGTGTATATTTATTTATATATATATATATCATTATATAATCATAAAAATAGAAAATAATCCATGCTATTAGTACTCTAGATCAACAGCTATAAATACATAAATAAATCAGTAAAATAAGTCAAATTAAAGTCGTAGTAAACCGCCCGAAAAAAAAAAAAAAAAAAAAAAGGCCTCCTGCAGGTTTAGATCATATTGTACTAGTATGCACTGCGTACTAGTACATTATGACAAACTTACCTGTACACGGAGCCCTCACGTGCTGCCACGGCTCCCCGGCACCGCCATTTTCACTGTCTTCCAGGTTCGTGGGCTCTGGCGCTATGAATAGTCGAAGCCGCAATTACATCATTCCTCTGCATGCGAGTGGGAGCTCTTGGCTGCAACATGAAGCTCTGAAGGTCTGGCATACTGTACCGACCCTTCAGAGGGCATGCGCTAGTGACATTACCAGCTGCATGCTATGTGAATATCCTATATGGTGCAAGTTTAAAAGATATTCACTGTACCTACAGGTAAGACTTATTATCGGTTTACCTGGAGATACAGCTTATAAAGTGGACTTTACTTCCACTTAAATCGGGAAAGCAACTGCCACCCAACTGTGCAGTCACTCCACTGTGTTAATGAATCTACATCAAATACTGGTGAAGCGCTTCCAATATGACATAACAAATCAAATATCATATATCCTCATACCATAACCCTTTATCATAAACGGATCCCCCTAGTATTCAGTATAAGTGTGTGAATGTGAAAAAAAAAAAATACTGTATTTTTTGCTCCATAAGACACACCTGACCATAAGATGCACTTATGTTTTAGAGGAAGAAAACAAGAAAAAAATATATTTAGGAGATGACCAGAGACTGCGGACATAGTACAGGAGATGACCAGAGACTGCGGACATAGTACAGGAGATGACCAGAGACTGCGGACATAGTAGGAGATACTGGAGATGACCAGTAGACTGCGGACATAGTACAGGAGATGACCGGAGGGACTGCTGCGGACATAGTACAGGAGATGACCAGGGGAGCGGACTGCGGACATAGTACAGGAGATGACCAGGGACTGCGGACATAGTACAGGAGATGACCAGGGACTGCGGAACATAGCGGACATAGTACAGGAGATGACCAGGGACTGCGGACATAGTACAGGAGATGACCAGGGACTGCAGACCATTGGGGAGTGGGGGGAGCGGGTACCCGAATTTGACAGTTACCCGCTCCCACTTCCGCTACGATTGCTTAGACGATCGAAAGCAGAAGTTGTCCTCCCTCCCTGTAGTTTTCTGGGACACATGACAGGTCCTAGAAGACTACGTGGCCATTCACAAAGTGCAGTGCTTCTCGTGCATGCACAATGGCCACCCGGCTGTGAAGCCACAAGCTGTCACAGCCGGGTGCCCACACTAAAGATGCTGACGCCAGGGGTAGAAGACGGCCGCGGAAACCAGCCGTTTTTGTAGCTGCTGGATTTTTTTTTTTTGTTCAGCTGGAACTCTGCTTTAAGGGGCAGCTGCTTTGGGTCCTGCCTGGTGTTGCTGCACTGCTGACTCCTCCTCTCTTCTGCCACAGAAGAGCTGAGTGGCTGGCCCGGTATTCTAACATGGGGGGGGGGGGGGGGGGGGGGTGTTAGTCCTGGTCAATATTCGCTCCATAAGACGCACAGACATTTCCCCCATTCATTTTGGGGATAAAAAGTGCGACTTATGGAGCGAAAAAAAAATACAGTAAATATATCGCTGTTAAAGCCTATAAAACAAAAAAACACGTCTAATGTAAGGGGCCCATACACCACAACTCACGTGCATCTCCTCACCTTATATCATGGACCTCCCCTGCAAAAGGAGGGTTGCTTGCGCTTTTCTTCATCATT